GTGAAAGATGGGATAAAGACATGACCTGCAGATCGCCCTCCTGTAATTAACCTTAAAGGCAAGGAAATTGTGTGTGTGCGTGTGTGTGTGTGTCAGAGCTTTCACACATGTAGATGTGAGTGCATGTGTGTTTACACCGTTTCTGTGTGTATACAAGCGTTTGCTCAGCCGAGCTGTGCTGAGCTGCACTCTGTGTGCTGGGTGAATTCAAAGCAATCTGCCAGCTATCCCAAAAGCTAGCCGAGTGCCGACTGTAACACAAAGGACGGCGCAGAACACCTGCCGAGATGATGAAGATGGCTCGCAGCCAAGACGACATATGGGTCTCATTCTGGCCCTAATGAAGACAACCTGACATAAATATCGAACAAAACGGACCACTCTGGAGGCCTGCGCCGTCTCTCTGCAGTGTTGCCGACATTGACTCAAACATTTGATCATCCTTGGGGGTGTTGAGGCATTAGAAATTGAGAGCAGAAAGCATGGAGTGAAAGCTGAGTTGGGGAGGTAATGCGATACATTTAATGCATAACAGCGCGGCTTCCCAAAAGCACCAGCATCCCAGTCTTCTTTGAAGCCTACAGGTAAAAGAGCATACCATCCACAGTTGCAGGATGAAATGCCTGTGCTGCTGTAAACAAATGCTAGCTCGCAGCCCTCGCAAGGTGTATGAAGTGTCAGAACACCTCAGTATTAAAAGAAAGGCTTCTTGAAGCTTGTAAGACTTTACTATCCTTAAGCTCTGAGCCTGAGTCAAAAAAAGACAAACATCAATAGCAAGAACATGGGTAATTAAGATAAGTCAGTGCTTGAAAGGAAACTGTTTTCGTGCAAAAGCAGCGCCTAGAAAAAGCACCACTTTAACAACCTATACGCATTTGATTGATTTTCTTTTCCACATTGTAGAGAATGAACGGATTCTGTGCCAAAATACTGTTCTTCCTGTTGTTCTTGTTCCTTGACCCTAACAGACCTTTTGTAGGTTTATTTTTTTTTAAACAACTGTAAAAACAAACCAAAAGGTAGCAGAATGCCACTTTCCTCCCCAGCCTTCGTCCTTGTTGTGATCCATGTGATAGCCTGTGGCCAGTACGGGAGGCTAACAGTTAATATAGTAACTGCCTGACAAGGAAACTCAGGCTGCTTAGAGAGATAACGACCTTGGCCGCAGCTATACAGCAATAGCCTTCCCCCTGCAAAGACATGTTGCGCTGCCGGTTCACAGTACTCCATGTTGCCTTTTTAATGGTACACCGATTTGCTGTAACTGAAGCTGAAATGTACAGCGTGCAGTACACAGAGCCCCGTGCTCTCACAGGGGGGAAAAAAAACTCAAGCAAAGATGTGAAATGATCGTCGTCACAGCTGTCAAATCACAAATCAATGGCAATTTATTTTCTTTCTTTTTTTCTCCCATTTCTACGAGGCTAATCTTCAGCCTCGATTCATGCATTTTAAATGCAGAGCACTTCTGTCATCATTTCACACAGACAAAGGCCCTTTTAAATATGACAGAAAGGATTAGTGAACGTCTGTTACTGCCAAAGTTCATCAGGTTCTTGTTTCGTAGGGCGCCCATTTAGCGCCAAATCATGCCGATGACATCTTGGGATCTATGCTTCGCAACATGTAGTCATAATTCCTGGGAGGTTCGAACCATCCAATTTAGCACTCTCATATTATCACGCCGGCTGTAATCCGTTAATTAGGGAAACAATCTCAACGTTGTTTTTTATATAATTAATGGTATTTAAATAATGATGTGATGTACTGTATATGTGGGATCAGCCTTCCTCATAGCATGTTAATGATCCACAGCATTCGGCTAATCAGTCAATTAATCACCATCCTATGAATTTAATCTCTTACTTAGGCACTGTTCTACATAATGGGTTTTAAACATTCAAATTCATGCTCGGATTACAGATGAGGCTCGTGTCATGCTCTTCTTAATCTGGGTTTCCATTGACAGCCTTTGATTTGTGACGTTGTTGTTTTTGTTCTTCAACACACAAGGTTATGTCACAATGACACAGCACAATGCATCCATTCCAGCTCTGTGCTTTGTGTTTTCTGTATGTTCTTTCTGGGGGTACATGCAGCTCGTGCTCTTCAAGGCTGGTATTTTCTGATGAAAAATAACCTCTCCGCAATCTCTGGATCTCATTCAGAAACCACAAAAGCCCATTTTGCTTCAGTGATTCAGCCCAGCTGAAAACAAACTCATGTTTATTTATCACATGCTTAAAACTCTCACATCAAGAGCTCAGTTCGTCAAAATGAGAGTGAAATAGAAGCTTTTGGTTTAAAAAAGTAAACTCAGTGGGGGGTGGACCACTTGTAATGCATTTCTGGATTAGCTTTTTAAAATGGATCCAATCAATATCACTAAAAGGTTAGAAAATATTGTTCTGAACTGATCTGTAAATGGCAAGAGCACAAACGTAAGCTTTGGCCTTCTGTTAATGTCAGAAACACCGTTGATCCCAACCATTAACATTGTGGTTGATGGCGGTGGGGCACTCCCTGTTGCTCTGTCTCATATGGGTCACATATCTTCATGGGAGAGCAATAATAAGTCACTGGAGTACCCCATTGTAGATCAATATTTTATGTTTATACACACCGAAGGCTTTTGAAATTGTCAGGTCTTTTTATCAAAGTGAGATATGTTGAGAAATACTGAAATAAGCTGTGGCAAACCAACAAGTCAGGTTCAACCTGTGCAGGGAGTTAGACGAAACATTATTAATATCCGAGTCTGTATCAACTATAATTCCCCTCATTGCACTTTTTGTGAAAATGGTGGAATATTTTGGGGTGGCTAGAGACGAGGAATGTACCGAATAGTTCGCAGCATCATTCATTACATTGATGATTACAATTCTGAACCAACATTTGAATGCTGGGCAGTTTCTTTTTTCTTTATATTTGCATGTCTATTTATTGTGTTTGAACCCAGTGTTTAGGAAGATTAGGCTCCACTTATATTATTAGTGTTATATTATTTGTATAATTAGATTCCGGTGGTGGCTGCGTAGGATTGTTTTCGACTGGTGTGATCCAAACATTCCCAATAATTGTGTTGTAAAGACCAAAAGTCAACATTTATTGAAAAAAAGATAGATGTTACAATTTCAAAAATTATACCAAATATTCCGCTTCGATCCATATTTGTTGGTGTTTAGCCTTTCCAAATGTAGGAATGTATTACCCCGAAAAAAAACAAAATAGCAGATGAAATAAGGAATAGTAATTCCACAATATTCATGATGCATCGACATGAATTATTATGAGCTATTCTCAGATGGACAGCCCTCGTTGTGTATAGAGGGGGTGTGACTATGCTGTCCGGGCCACTGAAACGCAGCGGCAGGGATCGATAAACTGACAAAGAGTCTCAACAAAGCCATGTATGTTATTTCAGGACTATATGTTGGCATAGGCTACAGTATATTTACTTATTTATTTGTATCTGACTAAGATCTGTTTCTCTTACTGACTGACTGACAGAATGAAGGGTGAGAGGTGACTGATGCTCCTAAAGGAGGAGGATGCGTTGCGTTACCTTCAAATATCATTGAATACTTGTCACAGAAGCTACGAAGCCCAACGAATGTACATTCGGTACAGCCTTTAGAGACAGAAGATGCATGCTCCTATTTTTTTAGCACAACAAGTTTGGTTATAGGATTCATATCTTGATTTGAAACGTACCTCAGCTGACAGAAACTCAAATGTGATTTATTTGTGTTCTGCCTGAAGGATCCAGTGACAGGAGGAGCGAACAGAAATGAACAGAGCAACAGATAAATTAGAGTTTCTCCTGAAGCTCGCCAAACTCAACCCGAGGGAGAAGGGTCTGCTCAATTAACGCACTTCACTTTCTTTTTTTATGCAGCCGTGTTCGCCATCTATGCTAATAACTTAGACATGCTGGGTTATTTATGGACGAGGCCAGAGCGCACGAGGTGGGCTCCTGCTGGCGAGCTAAGCGCTCGGCATCTGCATGGTTTCTTTTTTGGAAAGAGCCGTAAACGTCCGACTGGACTGTTGATGAGAGCCCCCCCCCCCCCCCCCCCCCCCCCCCCCCCCCCC